CTCATCCATCCATTGTTCGAATCGGCGCACACCTCGTTGTATAATAGTGGGTTTCTGAAAAGGAAATTTCAAAAGAGCACAAGCCAGTTAGTACTCCAAGCAGCCCATTCTTGAGAAAAGTTGCTAAATGAAAGAATCGATTTAAAAAAAAGGAAAAGAAAACATCGGTCTACCCCAAACAATTTGTTGTAATGAGATGTGAAAGTCATAGAAAGATTATGTAAGGTTTATAAAAAATCGAAGAAGAAAGTTTATTTAATTGATCAACCTGGAGCAGTCTGGCCGCTGCATCTTCAATTTTCGACATGTTTCGCCTAACATACAACTTCGCATCCTTTTGCATCTGATCAAGTCTAAAACGAATATGAAAATATGCCCAACTTAGGATCTGCACAGATTCAGAAACCTTACTTTTTTGGATCGATCTCATCAAGCCCATAAGGGAATGACATGTATGGATTCAATCTGAAAACCAAAAAACATCAACAAAAGGACCCTCACTATTCTAAGTTGAAAAACACACCTGAAGTAAACATTCTGGTCCAACAAATCATGCATACACATATGAACAACTTCCGTATTTGTAGCGCTATCAACGATACGGTTGAATTTCTGCAGCGAGCTCAGTGCAGACGGTGTCATTGACTGTTCTTGTTCAAGATCACACACCTGAAGCGGTAGATCATACATTCTTCCACCAAAAACTACAGAATAAAACTTCTACTTACCGATCGGCCATTTCCAATAGACACAACACAATGTAGCCGTTCCTCAGGCCAAAGAAGTTTCGCTTCATGAACGCCAATAGCAGTTGGATTGTTTGCAATGACCTGATTGAGAATATTTCAAGTGAACTATTAAACAACAGTTATTCAAGAAGGAAACTCAACAACGAAAATGTGCTCGCAAGCGAAAGCATACAAATTAGTGCCCTCACCCCTCCGTCTTGTAGAAGATACTGGTCTACTTTAACTTCCTCGAAGTACAGTGGAGCAGCTGCTGAGGCCTAAAATATATCTCAAGTGGCCGACAACGATCGGAGCAATTCTACACTTAGTAAAAGGAAAGAGAAATAAGTGAAAGGAAATTTGGATGCATAACTGAAAAAAGTCCAATTCTGCTTCTAATGAAGCATGACATAGGCAGCCTTTTAAGATTCTCCTTTATATATTTGAACCGTCTGTTGCTGCACGAATGATAAGGCAGAACAAAGTGCATTTCAAATAAACACAGATGAAACCTATGCCTTCTTCACAAACCAAAAACTACTGACACGACTGAGATAAAAACCACAAACCTGAATAGCCTTCCAAAGATATTGTCCCGTGCTTCCTCGGTAGTGAGAGTCACGACCAGCAGGAGCTTCATAGTTACGAAATATATACGGCTTAAGGAAAGATTAGTCAGAATCGGATCAAACCCATACTTAATCACAATACCCAGTAACCAAGAACTACAACTACAATACCTACCTGAAGAACCGGCGAGTTTACAATGGCGGCAACGATACTTAGACGAGGTACTACAGCCTTACTCGTTTCAATAATAGTAAGATCTTCTCCAAT